AAGTCTAAATTAAAATTTGAATACGTCATGCAATTTCTCAAAATTTCCAAATCATCCTAGTAATTTCATTAAAAATATAAAGCTAAAAGAAAAAACTTTTATAACAACCATTTTTATGCGTATACCTGAGAGTTGTTTTACTTTAAAGAGGACGTCTCGCCTTTCTAAGTATTCAGTTTTTCTTACAAGTGCGAAACATAAAAATGTTTGCTCAGCAGCTATCATTAAGAATCCTTAGTTATTCTCTAGAATATTAATTTAAACAATGGTAATAAATCAATTACTACTATAGCTATAATAGGACTTGTAGGTCAGATACAATTTAAGCAGATCAATCATTAATACTTATTATTTACACTTGTTAATACTTATTATTTTTAACATTGATATCTAATCATACTTCCAAATTTTGATCACAGTTATTGTGTCAACCTTAGATCATATTATACTATAGATTCACATGGTTTTATCTATAATGTATGACAGTGGCTAGTCCTATGCTGCTATATAAAGTCCTAAAAATCTAGTCGGGTGAAAAATATTTCAAGAGGTCCAATATCAAATATTATCAAATATGGCGTATCGTTGCAGAGAGGAAAGTAGTCAACATGAAACGGCCCTATCCAAACTTTTAAAATATTTAAGGCCATGGCTCGAACTTAACATTTGGTTCGGCGCCATTGATGTATGGTCTAAATTCTAAGAGGTTAACAATCAATAAATCAATTTGATAAGCAAACATTTATATCGGAAATCAACTAAGAATCTTTTATTCAAAGTGTCCTAGTTAACCACCCATTTGTCAYGCGTTACCCAAATACTATTTATTTTTCTACAATCATTCTGATTCATAATTCTTAAACCCAGTGGCGTAGTCAGCCTTCCAGGAGGGGGTATTGAGTGYATAGTACTGTATACACTTTTCCCCTCCCCAAGGCCCAAATCCTAACCCTGGCTACGGCACTGYCTTACCCGCGTGACAAGTAGATAGTTAAGTAAGTCATAAGAAGGTTAGATTAGGTACCTATATAGACTATGGTGAGTTGAAGCACAGGTGATGATAGATGAATATCATCACTGGTCATAACCTTAGCATTGATCTTTTCCTACTAACTATCAAGGTATTCGACATTGAAAACATAACGCTGAAAGAAAATATTTAAAAATTGCAGAGGATATGTAAATTATTTTTACTATTTATTATTTCATTTTCATATTTATTATAAACTATATTATTATTTAAATAAAAATTAATATTCATTAACGTAATTTTAAACGTGGTTTTACAGCCATATTAGTGTAATACAAGTTTCATATACCTAACTATTAACAATCATAATTAATAAAGAGTGCTCTGATTCATTGATTATAGTTTATAATGTATAAAATACAATTCAAGTACCTATGTCATTCACAATTGACTGTAGACCATGGCAACGAGCCTTATTCCTCATTATTAAAACTTGACTGCAATTTGAAAAAACAACGGAAATTTACACAAACTAACTTAACTCAACATGACTTAAACTTGACACAACTTGACAACAACTTGACTCACCTTGATTAAACTTGACTCAACATGACTTAAACTTGACATAACTTGACACAACATGACACAACTTTACTTTAATTTTACCCAAATTTTCAAGCGTGCGTCAATAACCTTTTTCATGTTTTTGATTTTTAATTTGTTTAACATGTACCATTTTGTGAACACAATCTTTAAACATTAGACATTAATAACCATTTCCTTTCTTAATCTACAATTTATTATCAATTTATTATTTTTTATATTTTATTGCTTTCGATCTTATGAGATTACATACCGTAGTCTTCAGTATGTATTTGTAAATCATAATTTTAATAAAAAAATTTTTTTTGCTTCTGGGTGTACTCATGCCTGCGGTCGCCAATACCTTCTTCGCATTTATTATTCATTTTACACATCTAGATAGTATTTAAAACATGTTTAAACTGGACTAAAACTTGACACAACTAGACACATCATGATACAACTTGAAACAACTTCACAAAACTTGACACCAACTTGACATAACATGACTGTAACTTGACTTGACTTGACTACAACTTGACCCAACATTTCTTAAAACAACGTGACTTTAATTTTACCCAAAGTTTCAGGCGTGCGTCAATAACCTTTTTCATGTTTTTGATTTTAAATTTCATAGATCATAGAWCCATGTGGTTAGATATGGTATTCCAGCGGCATTGTGGAGTTATTGTTTGGCATGTACAACGGGCCTTAAAGATCTATTCTGACTTTCTGAGAAATCTGTTTTGTATCGTTTGTAATTTTTTAATTTTTGTTTGGGATGCGACTGCCCATATTGGGCTTGCATATGTAATTAATTGTCTTATTATTGATGTTTATATTAAAAGTAAGCATTTAATCTATAGTTTTAAACTGTAATTTATTAGGGGTATAAGATTTTCAATCGTGTATAGGCTTGGTTTAATTTTTATTTATATGCATTTTCCATGTTAATTTTTATCAAGGTTAAACTCCTAGATATTTAATTGATTGATCTTTATTATTCCATAATATAGGCTGATTTTGGATTTTTATATCTCTACAGGGTAAATATTTTGACAAAACAATTTCAAATTGAATGTAATTAATACTGTCATATCAGTCCTAGCATTGAATAAAAATCTGCTCGACAAACATTTTTTTTCCTGAATTTACTTATTTATCATAATATCTAACAACAGGGTTCCTGCATAATACCGGCTATGAACTCAATAACAGGTATTTAAAAATTATTTGAGGTGTCCATGGCCATTTCCAAATTTCGAATAATTGCCTTCTAGTATCAGTTGCATCCTTCAATTTTTCCCACTTGGAAATCCAATTTTAGATAACATAAGGACTACACGTCTACACCCAAATACTAGCTGGACTTTATTAAATCACCAGTTGTACTCCAATAATTATCAACCTCGCTGCTGTTGTTTWACTTAAATATTTTCCACATTTAAATGCAAAGGTTTTATAAGATATTATTAAACTAATAGTTTTAACTATAGAATACCTGCACTGCAAACATTGTTTGAAAACCGCTTTCATTTTATTGCACTATTCAAGTAATTACTACCTAGTGGCTAGTACCTATAATATTGTTAAATACAATTGTATACATAAGACATACTTGTTTAGCCTATTCCCCAATACATTATTTATGCTTTACATACTGTGTATGTAACAAAAAATACAATAATTGTTATTATTATTATTATTATTATTTTTTAATTTAAATTTTGAGTTTTGTATGATCTAATAATTTARGTTAAAAATAATGCTAACCAGGATTTTCTARAATCGTATAGTCACTAGCAAATGATAATATTATTAAATGCAGGATATTAATGCCAAAATCATTGAAAGGGTTAAATACTTTTTCAAGTTATATTTTCAGCATTAAAATTTATCGTTATGATTTTTGATTGAATTGGAAGCATCTCGATTGTGTTGTTACCAATTTACCATGTTCATATCTTTTATGAYATTTTTTTGAATGCCTCATCCAACATTTGAAATGAAAGTCAATTTTGGCTTGGTTTGTACATGGAATCATTTTAAAACATACATAAACATCTGAAAATAAATATATTTAAGCAACATACATGTTTACTAATGCTACAAGCATTTAACATAGAAAAATAAAGGAAACTGCCTTAGCATATTAACAATGCAATGTAAGCTTAGAGAAGTTGAGTTTGTCAGGAACACCTCATTCCTTGTTTCTATTTTTTTAAATAAAATATGTGTAGACTGTAGATACCTAAAAATATATTAGGTTTTAATCCTATATAAACATAATATTACATATTATTAAAAATATATTTCAAATTTAATTCACGAAAGATTCATAAATATACATACAACAAATCATATGTGCACTTAAATYTGAATTTATGAAAAATACATATGTATATTTTTTTTTGTAACAAAATTAGTAATAATATTAACAATATAGAAAAATAATTGAATATAAAAAAAATGTAAAAGATTAAATAGCAGTAGAGCACCAATTCCAATTTCTATCCAAACAACACCTGTTATTATCAGTTTTTCCGTTTAACATTTTTACATATAATTTACTTAAAATACTATATATATATTATTTTTATCACTAATTGGAATTCAACAATATTAGTACAACACACATTTTAAATTAAATCAAAGTATATTAAAATTATGTCATTGTGAAAATAAAATATTAATTATAAAATAATGACTAACAWAAGTAAAAAAAWTTAAATTGCATTAAACTGTGAATAAAACTCGTAATAAACCCCAAATACTGTGTAATAAGTAATAATATAATAAATAACACAAAAATATATGTTATAAGAACTAATAATTTTTATGGTAGTATCATTGGTTTTGATCACAAACTAATAGAATGGAATGGAAATGTGAGCCATATCACCATGCTACTTATGAATCATAAGTCTGTTACAGCATAGTTAWTTTCATCATATAAAAAAGATAATGCGTATAGAGTTCTCGAGTTATCTATACATGATTACCATTTATCCCTTCTTCCATACAAAAATCTTCTTAAGCAGCTATCTCCATCAAATACTCGTCTTTTTGTTTCTAGTCTATTATATCTTAGTCAACAAATTTAATCATATACACTGCTTTATCTGTAAAGTTGTTAATAAATCTTTACATCAAATCATACAACAATCAATGAAGTTACAAAATATAATAATATATTGTTTATAGCATATTTCAATATTTGTATGATTTATAATATTATATTATACAATGGAAAATTGGAAAACTAATATATGATGATAAATCATTTTGGATATGTATGAAAAATAAACCGGTAATTTTCTGGCAGTCATATTATTTACTATCCCAATCACCAATGTTTACTCATTTCTCATTGAGTTTAAAGGTTTAAACTGTTTAGAGTTTTGGTTAGACAATAGAGCAACTAAAAATTAAAGCCAACATGACAAAATGCAAAACCAAAATTGTGTTATACTAAATTACAACATGTTGTTCATAAAATTATGAATTACAATTTTGAAAAAAGTTATACATAATATCAAGCTATAACTTCAGGCTCCCAAGCAAACTTTTCTTTGTGCTTGATATTATTAATATCATCGACATCTTCCTTAGTGAGTTCAGTGTCAATATCAAAATTTGTTTTTATTCTTTCTGCCGTAATTGACTTTGGTATGATAGCTGAAAATTTGTATAAACATAAATTAGATTGATAAATAATCTATATTATTTATTATTTATTTACAGCTAGTGAGCTCAACATAATTCACAGCAATATATATATATATAACCTAATTCAAGCGTTACACTTGCCCAACTTTGCAAGTAACAATTTTTAAATATAGTGGAGATTGCATAAATAACATGTGTAATATAAGATATATAAATAATTAAGAACGATATAATAAATAATAATAATTTCAGATTATAATAATATCTATTAAATAAGTGATAATAATAATAACTAAAAACAATAAAAACCTATTAATTGATAATATGACATTGAATTTAAGTTATAGGTTATTTAAGTTCTCTAAATTGTGGTTATAATMAATTATTATGTAATCTAGTATGAACAATTTTAATTATTTTACGTTATTAAATGAGAAACAGTCTGAAAACTCTGAACTTTATGAAAATAAAGAACAAAACCAATGAACCCAAACTTAATTTGGAAATCGCTAAAATAATCTGTTGTTTATATCTATAAAAAATATCTGCTATTTAAATACAACTTTAACATTTTTAATTTAATTTTTTTTTTAATCTTAATTTGATACTCACCATAATTTCTTTGAATAGCCCATCTCAATAACACTTGTGCAGCACTTATGGAATGTTTTTTAGCAATACGATTTATTACTTCATCATTTAACAATGAATTTTTACCAGCAGATCCTCCCATAGAACAATATGCTTGTAGAACAATTTTAGCATTTCTGCATAGGTTATGGAACTCTGAAGATTGTTGAAAATATGGATGGAATTCAACCTGAAAATAATTATGAATACATATAAACAATATTTCGAATGACTTATGAGTTTGTAAAGAGTAAATGTAATTGTATACAACATGTTATTAACATTTGGGAAACATAAGTTTATACTTTTCCATATTATTTATTAAGAAACAATACAACATTTTTTAATTTCATTCGATATAATTATGTTATCATAACTACTAGATTTTAWTTTAAAAAAGTTTAATTATTAACTAACTTTATTTCAATGTCTTTTATTTAATAATTATAAATTTAAAGATTAAAGTTATTTAATCATGTTGTTTAAGCTAAATTGTATGTTTTACAGAATAGAAGAAATAGTTAATATTTCACTAAAAATTATTTTTATACAGTTAAAAATTAACATAATATATCAGTTGGTTTCCAAAGCAGATTTATATGGATATTATATAATTCATGTATTGATATTTTATTAATATTTTCTATATTTATGATCAATGATCATTCAAAGGAACAAATTCAAGTGCAGATAAATTTTTTTAGTACAGGCGTATAGCTAATGGTTGTGATTCTATTCACTTTAAAAATATACATTATAAATTATTATTACTTGATTAACAGCTGGAACAATATTAGTTGGATCGGCTAACATTTCTTTTATATGTTTTACAGTATAATTAGATACTCCAATATTCCTAAGTGAACCCTTGCCATTGTCGTGCAACTTCATAAGAGTCTTCCAAGTTAAATTACGAAGTTTAGAATTTTCAGGGCTTTTYGCATCAATACGCCCAGCTCCTGGCCAGTGTATTAAATATAAATCCAAGTAACTGGTACCTAAATTGTCTAATGACCTTTGCACAGCAGCTGTTACTTGCTTCTCATCACCATGGTCTTTAGGAGCTATGAAAAAAATCAATTGATTATAAAAATAGAATATTGTAATCATCTCCAACATAAATAGTATAAAACTTAATGTAGGTATAACTGAAATATAATTTGTTTTTTATAAACCCTTTATGACTTTTATCAATAAAATATGATCTTTTCAATTTTAAGTTTAAAAAAATGCTTCAAATAATGTTCAAAATAATATTCATTTCATTGTAGCTGTGAATGCGTGTACCATGGATTATTATTAGTTTATTAATTATTATAATTTGTATAGAAAAAATCTTGCTGAGTTCCTACATATAGATTGAAATAAAATGTCTTAGAGTAACTAATAACTCAAAAAATACAACAAAATATGAAGATAGGTACACTCGCTCATAGTTAATTAACAAACTAAGGACGACAACAGTATTTCAAATGATAAAAAGGAGATAAATTATACATACATCTATTGTACCTCTATAAATAAAGATTTTTTAATTTATTTTAGACAGAGCAAAGCAAAAAAAATATTATTTTTTGTGTTTGGAGACACTTTATGCAGCAAAAAAAAATGTTTTAATATTTCAATAGGTAATTCAAAAATTATTAAGGATAGAATTTTTTGTCATTAAGTATATTATTATTTTTTATATAGGTACAATGTAATATTTAAAATATTTAGACTAAATTTTAAGATATGTACATACAATGAACCTATTTATACTATGCAGTATTGACAAAATGTCATAATTATATATTATTACATGATGATTTGGAAAAAAATAGTTCAAAATGCCTTTCTATTAGTGGAAAAATAAATTACTGAAAGTTAATAAATAAATTATATAATATCTTAAAAAATAAGCAGACACACTGCTCTCAAAATCGTTTTTTCACATAGAATGATTAAACAGTTAAATTGTATTATCCATGCTTTTGTTATATAAACATCAACAACCAAACATTTGGACATTGCAAATTTATTTACCTAA